TTACGCTATAAATTTATAGCGTATTAAAATGTATCAGCGTACTCAAAAAAATAAAATGAAGAAAACTAGATTTGCTCTAACTTATGAGAGGCTGAGAGGCTGAACGATTTGCAAATTACATCTTTTTTTTTTTTTAAATTTGAAATAAAATTACACTTTTTTTTTTGCCTAGTTGTGTTGGACATAGATTCTATAACCAATCGTAGCAATGGAAAAGAGGACACAACAGAGCGCTACCTTGCTGTATCTGTTTCTTTGTCATTGGATGTTGCTTTAAAAAGAACAAAAAAAATTCTTTAATTTTCTTTTTAAAGAAACTTTTCAAAGAAATTAAATTTAACTGTTCATTAAATGAATATTTATAATTTGTGGTTGGGGGTTAAGGAGAGGGGGGGGGCGGCTCCCATTTTAAGTATGGATTAAGATGGCAGTATGATACTGTTTAACGACGTGTGAAAACAACAGGCTCGTGTGTGGTTCGTTATAAAATGTTAAATAATGTCAATGTCATGAAGCTGTTGCTTTTTTTCGGGTTGTTTTTGTTTTTTTTATAAGGTTAAGGGTAAATGAAAAGTTTTCACGTTTAAAAGTATCTTTACAAATATGCTACTTGTCTTCACTTAATTTTTAAATTATTATTTGCAACAACAAGTTAAGTAAACAATGCATGCATCACTTTTAGCAGAAGACTAGTTCTCCTTTCATTTCGGTGTATTTTATTGAATAAAAAATCAATGAATTTAACATTAAGCCTTACTTTAAAATTAGTCCATTTAATAATTATTAGTGTAAAAACATTAACAGCATCTGTGTAAGAAGGTGATTTTATTGTTAACATTGGTTATTCACTGTGTCTTAAGTGCCTTCCATTATTAAAAAAAAAGCAACAAATAAAGACTTATAAATAAATATTATTTGCTCAAGTTTTAAAAAAAAAGTTTAACTTTTAATAAATCATTTCAAACCCAGTTTCTTTGTTTGTAACAATACACTTATGTATTAAAATTTTAAACAAAATTAACTATAAATAATGAAAAGCTGTGGGATTCCGTTCAAAAACTTTCGTAAATGTGCGTCCATAATAATTATCCCGGCCATTTTTCCTGTATCTATAGTTTTTTTTTTTTTTTGAAGGTAATAAAAACAAATTGAATGTTATTAAATCACATAATACGATGTGTACATAAAATGCCAAGTCGTATGGGTCATATATGTCAAAACGAGAATATTCCTTCTGGCTTCACGATAACATTAATCTAGCGATTGCTCATACGACATAATTTTTTTGATAATTGGGAATGAGAAGGAATTTACTGCTTCGTCTTAGATATCTTAAGGGCCGACGGTCATTGTGATGATCATTCTGGCTCTTCTTGATGTAGAGGTGTTTCGCGATTTGTATGTGCCTGGTATTGAAGCAGATTTTTTCAAAAGCCACCTGAACTTCACATACGATAACAGAGCTTGGCCGTAAAAAGCATCTGCTCAAAAAATAATAAAGTCTTGGGAAGTAGAACATAACTTTATTAGCAGTATGTCCAACTGACACGAGTATCTTGACCTCACTGCGCACTACAATTAGTATGTTAGAAAAAAATGTCATGAAAATAATATTTAAGTATTAACAGTCGTCATATGATAAATAAAGAAGAAGAAAAAAGGATTTGCGTGTATTTAACAATGTTAAGAGATTTATAATACTAAAAAACTGATAGGAGTAAGACCAAACAAACACCCAAAAAAACTGTTGTAAAATTTCAAAAAATACTCTATTATTTTCATTCAATCCTCATCTGAAACATCGTTTGTAGATAAATTCAATCAATACAAATTAAAGTAATATGCAGATTCGCTTTAATTTCATTGATCGGAATAGTTAAAGCCACCAAACTAAAATTAAGTTCAATGAGCTGGCACTGGGAATTTTCTAATCAAACGATTTCCTTTCGATAACGGTATACATTGCAGTTTTGATTGCATAAATCCATGGATTAGCAATGGATGGTGGCTGCCCCGTTTTCTGGCGGTTAAATTAATGATGGATAGGAAACTAGTCAATAAACATTTCAGAATTGTTGTTTTATCAAATATTTGAGAGAAAGCATAAAAGGAAGACACATTTTATTCGTGGCCACCTATGTATTTGCGTGAATTGTCTATGTTGATATAATCATTTTAAACATGTGGCACCATAGTCCGCTGGATCAGGATTGACAGGGTCCAGAAAGCCCGCCATGCTGTAAACACTCTTTAAGAAAATTTCTTTCCGTAACTTTATTATTTTTTTTTTTTACTCTAACCACATGGCAATAAATTACCAACGCTTTCAATTGTATCATTAGATGAATTGATGACATACAGGAAAATATGTTAAACGTCCAAATGACAACTGTTAGACGAAAAAAAAAATTCATAAAAGGTCAAATTTTGAAGGCACAGTACCACATAACACTCTGAGCAATTTCGACTCTAAAATAACCTAGATTTCATCTTCTAGTCTTGCAAAATTCGGTTTATCACATTTTTTTAAAAAGTGTTCATAGAAATTACTCATTAAAAAAAATAACAAAACACATTTTTTTGCAAGTTTTAAGTCCTTTTGAAGGAATATTTTTCCACTCGTTTATTTTCTGTTGACCTAAATTTCACAACTGACTCTCCAACGGTTGATTCTCCAACGTTGCCGATTTCTCATCGCTTACTTCAAAGTCGTCGTCCTCTGCGTCTACCATGTATTTGCGCCTCCTTTTGCTGGGGAAGGATTTAAGTCGTTATTTATAATTTTTTTTTAAAATATATTATAAGTTGTTTTTAAGACGTATTCACTTTGTGAAGATTTGTGGGAGCTTATTTCATTACTCGGTTCTAATTAACACGCACATACACACACAAAGAAGAAAGAAAAAAAAATATGAAATACGCGCCTTATCCGAAGCAGCATTTTATTTCCAAGGACTTTGAGATAAATTTAAAGTTTAGATCAATGTGGATATTTAGTCATGTCAACGTAATATTATACAAATGAACAAACATGATCTATTTCATTTCCGTTACTGAAGAACTTTTTAATTTAATCGATTAGATTCACGCTGGGCTCATGAAGCTTTAGGTTATTACTTAAAATACTGTGTGGAATTTTTTTTTTCTTATTTTTTTTTCACCCTTTAAGTTGTAGTTTTCTTTTCTTTGAAGTGTTGTGGCCTAAGTAGTGAAATTTATATGCTACAATGGAGGCCAACATGTTAACATTAGTTGAATTCATTCCAATAATTTATTTAAATTGTAATCTCTTTCTTAAGTGTAAGTTACGAGTCAAACGATTTTACCGAAATTGTACAATAAAAATAAACACCAATTTTCTTTAAAATGTCTGAATAACGAGTGATTTTCATGCTTGTCTCTACCTTGATATTTTGTTATGAGTGTTTGAATAAAAGTGAAATAATATGTCGTTTTTTTTGTTTTTTTTTTTAAAGTATTCACTTTTAAAGATACTTACTTATTACGCGTGATGATCGTTGCCATATAAAAAAGAAAGCACAGAATCCAAGGTAACACTGTTATCGCCCTGGTGACTGATGGTGAAAGCAAACGTTAACATTAGGTCATAAGGTGGGGAAAAATTTGAATCATAGAATGTGGGTGGGCGTGTGGCTAATAAGGCACGAATTTTTCTTGTGCAGTATCACAGTAGGTGCAGGGGACCGATTGGGCATCCCCGGGAGCAAAGTCAGACTGGGTCTTTCTGGCAGCCGCTGTTCGACTAACTTCATTTTTTGCTTGGAGCCCCTGTGTAAGGTAACGCCATGATGTTGGATCCTCACATACATGACAGCTTTACATAATTTAAACTGCAGGAAGTTTTCAATAAAAAAAGGTAATTTAAAATATGTGTATATATGTATTACACAAAGCAGACTACACAGTTGATCACGCCGACGGGGAAACCCAAGGGAACATCACGTGGGAGATACAGTTTAGCACAAGGGGCGTCGCAGGAGTTGTTTCATTGTACCAACGGGACTCCATCTCCAGATTTGAACTCAGGGTATCCTTTTCATAGATGAGTTGCCATCCAAGTTGGTGGGGATTGAACTGAAGACCTCTCCGTCACCCAGCACTGAGTGATTAGTGTTATAACTTAAATAAATGTTTATATATTCATGTATAATTCCACCAATACTTCCTCGCGCAAGCAAGCGACAGATCGCCACATAAATCCTCTTCAGCTTTTGAATTTATTTTGACCACAATACAAAAGCGGGGTCTGCACACCTACACAAATTGGCGTCTTTCATGCATTTAGTAAACTTGAGTAAACATTTAGTGTACTTATCGCAATGTGCGGTATTTAGACCGATCACAATCTTTTACATCAAGAATTACAAGTATTTAACCTACCTGGTGAGCATGCCCCGGTTTCTCTATCAATGCAATCAGCCCAACATTTTTCATAGCAACTGTACAAACAGTTTTCGCCCCACTCAAATAATCCGCACTCTAAAATGTTAAATGGGGGGGGGGGGGGGGGGGGAATACCGCAACGTAATTGTATTAAAGAAAATATTTTTAATCTGTAAAATTAATAACAACAAAAATGTGATTCTAATATTTAAATACTATATTATACATATTTAAATTATTTTTTAAAAACGGGGGGGAGGGGAGGTTGGGAATACCGCAACGTAATTGTATTAAAGAAAATATTTTTAATCTGTAAAATTTATAACAACAAAAATGTGATTCTAATGTTTAAATACTATATTATACATATTTTAATTATTTTTTAACAAGGGTGTAAAATAAGATGTGCATGATATGTGCAGTTTTCTTTAATTGTATACAATTAAACATATAAATGTGTTTTTAGATATAAGTATTTATGTAGAAAATCACGAGGAATGAAGGATAAGTGACACGTTTATATCAATACGAGCTTGTCTTTTTATAATTAATCAACAATGTGAAAAACGAATTCATTGAACACACCTTGATCACAGGCCCGCTTTGGGTGTTTCCATCCACTTTCACAGAAGTTGCATGAGCCGTTCACTTTGTCGCAATGAGATGAGCAGTGAGAGCAGTCCCACAAACAGCTCGGGCCCCATTTCTTCTTTGGACAGACTGGGAAATGGAATAATTCAACCGTAGTTAACCACAAGTTTAGTTGCATTTACTTTTTTTTGGTTTTAATCGCTAGCATTTTGTAGCAATGACATGTGGGGAGTAATCTGGTTTCAACTGCTTTAAGTCCACACTATAGGTTAGGGAACACCTGAAGAAAAAGGAAACAAAAAAAACAACAACTTATGTTTCAACTAAAAGCCTTCCATGGCAACAAGAAAGAGAGAGAGAGAGAGAGAGAGAGAGAGAGAGAGAGAGAGAGAGAGAGAGAGAGAACCTAGAATTTAAGCACAACTTAGCCTGTACAAGTCTAACAGGAAATAGTAACCACGTCATCTAGTAAAGTAACAAGATGCTCCTGTTAAACTTAATTTGCATAGTGAATTGAAGTTGTCCATACACTAATCTGTATTAACCAGGTAGGCATTGCTTAACTGAGATTTCCTTTAAAATCTATTAATTTTTTTTTCTATAAAAAGTTTTTCGAACGCCAGGATAACAGAACAGATGTGTAGCTCTTTATGGTAGCGGAATTTTGTAACTGTATTGCAACCATACTTGTTGTTTTGTGTATATGACTTTAGTAGGCATGACGCAAAACAATTGTGCAGTTTGTTCTTGTGTAATGTATGCTGTAGATTATATATAAATACTTCTTGTATGATATAACCACCCTTTAAAGTGATAGGTCCATAGATAAGTCTCTATCGTTCGTCTAGGTCTTGATCATTTGACAGTGATTCTTACCACACGTTCAGACATCAAAGGCACATTAGCACAGAACGCAATCTTGTCTTAAACAATTAAGTTATTAACTTATTATAAAAGTGCAACAACTGTAAGCCTACTGCGCTTCGGTATATTCGTCTATTGTGAGAATTCATCGTCTGACCTAAAACACCATTTAAATAGACTAAGCAAGAAAGCTAGTTATCTTAAAAAAATCTAAACATCCTTCACTTGATGAAAAATGATGTTATAAAACCTTTAAAAAAAATAGAAGTTGCATTCCCTTCATTTTATTAGATGCATAAAATCAATGTGATCAGGGCGAATTCCCACTCTTAAAATTAGTAGAGAAAGATGTAAAATTCTTTTTTTTTTAAATTCTGTACGAGCTTAACAGCGTGCTCAACCAGAGTTTATACTAAAAGAGTTCATTGATGTCTGATTCATTCGATAAGGAAATAGTTTAGGTGTCTTGTGTTTAAATTGTTAAAATTGTTAAAGTGTTGCCTTCGTTTAATTGTGTAAATATGTATCTATGTATGTGCTTAAAATAAATATATACAATGTAATCAATAAACATTTCAATTTATTTGAATCGATAAAGATATCGTGTCTTAAACTAAACTAAATAAGGTCATCTTTAATCCAGATTTTCAGATAAACTATGAGCGCAACTATTGCGCACTTTACAATAAGAAAACAAAAAGGTAAGTTATCCCCTCAAAGACCAAATTGTAACTGCCGAAATGCCTGCTGCACATACTTAACCCAAACTACACAAGACGTTACAAGAACTCCTCACACATACATAAGTCATATGTCTCACATACCTATACAAATCGGCCCGAAAACAAAAACCCGACAAGCAACTTTAAACATGGAATGTACAAATCAAGACGCACCAATTAACACTAAAATACAAAAATTGGCGTATAGCAATATATATTTAAATATTTCTTATGTACGCAGCATATAACCGTACGAAAAATAAATACCCTTTTCAGGACATTTCCTTTGAGGAACACAAGTCACATTGGAAAATTTTTTATCTGGCCCTTGACATGGCTTTCCAGACCCTTGTGGTGGGGGATAATCGCAAAGTCTATAGTAAAAAAAAAAATGCATAAATACTTGTATGGACAGGCCATGTAATTTAAAGAAATTTTTCTTAATGATGATATATGTCTTGCGTAGTTTTAAGATTTAGGAAAAAATATTGCAATCGCAACAAACGCTAAATTAAGAGATTTAATTTTTTTAAAAAGCTTGATACCCTGAAGCTGCAAACATTTCAATCTTTAAGCTACCGAGTCAAATCAGATGAATGGTCGTAAGCGTGAGAAGTCGACTGTGTCCAATATGTTAATTTGTGAGTCGAGTGAAGCCAACTGTGTCCCAAATATTAATTTGAGAGTCGAGTGAAACCAACTGTGTCCCATATGTTAATTTGTGAGTCGAGTGAAGCCAACTGTGTCCCAAATATTAATTTCATAGTCGAGTGAAACCAACTGTGTCCCATATGTTAATTTGTGAGTCGAGTGAAGCCAACTGTGTCCCAAGTATTAATTTGAGAGTCGAGTGAAACCAACTGTGTCCCATATGTTAATTTGTGAGTCGACTGAAGCCAACTGTGTCCCAAATATTAATTTGAGAGTCGAGTGAAACCAACTGTGTCCCATATGTTAATTTGTGAGTCGAATGAAGCCAACTGTGACCCAAATATTAATTTTTGAGTCAAGTGACGCCAACTGTGTTCCACACGTTAATTTGTGAGTCAAGTGAAGCCAACTGTATCCCATACTTCAAGTTGTGAGTCGAGAAAAGCCGACTGTGTCCCATATGTCAATTTGTGAGTCGAGTGAAGCCAACTGTGTCCCACGTGTCAATTTGTGAGTCGAGTAAGCCAACTATGTCCTTCACGTTAATTTGTGAGTCGAGAAAAGCCAACTGTGTCGACGAAGTATGTGACAGTTAACAAAGACCGTGTGTGACAGACATTACCTTCGATGATAATACAACGGGAAAGAACAGTTTTCATTGCATGTCCACGACTCCCACGCACCCCATTCACCGTCAGCTGCAACATTAAACAATGACAATATAATTGATAATAATAAAATGAAACGGTTGATCAATCTATGACTACATAAAGCGTGACATTCTCTGCTCATGCTGTTCCTACATATTTATAATAAATTGTCATCAATTTTCATACAGCATGCAAATTTTTACAATTTTAGGGTTTTTTTTTTAGTCTGTTAACTTTGACAGATGTTTAAAACACCTTGTTATTTGTTTTTAAATTTTGCTATAAAGTGCAGTATCCATTTATAAGTGAAACACATGTTTTCCATGGCTTCACGTATTCATTAATGTCTTTTACCCAAGCTGGGGCATTGGCCGTATCCGGGTAACATAATGGTCCATCTCGGACCTGTGCTTTCCTTCCAAATTGCTTCCACGGAAATCCCATACTTTGTGTGCCTGCCTTTTTGTCTCGACGTTCTCTTTTTTTTTTGTCTTCAGCTTTTTCTGTTCCCCTGTGCGTTCCGTGCGTGGTATAGTCTGCAATATGTTTCTAAAGGTTTGCAAAGAGTGCGCCTGTCTTCTCCTTGAAGTGTCGTCTGCATTAGGCTCGTCGAGCTTCCTCTCCAGTAAGACTAAGTGTCGTCTGCATTAGGCTCGTCGAGCTTCCTCTCCAGTAAGACTAAGTGTCGTCTGCATTAGGCTCGTCGAGCTTCCTCTCCAGTAAGACTAAGTGTCGTCTGCATTAGGCTCGTCGAGCTTCCTCTCCAGTAAGACTAAGTGTCGTCTGCATTAGGCTCGTCGAGCTTCCTCTCCAGTAAGACTAAGTGTCGTCTGCATTAGGCACGTCGAGCTTCCTCTCCAGTAAGACTAAGTGTCGTCTGCATTAGGCTCGTCGAGCTTCCTCTCCAGTAAGACTAAGTGTCGTCTGCATTAGGCTCGTCGAGCTTCCTCTCCAGTAAGACTAAGTGTCGTCTGCATTAGGCACGTCGAGCTTCCTCTCCAGTAAGACTAAGTGTCGTCTGCATTAGGCACGTCGAGCTTCCTCTCCAGTAAGACTTCGTGTCACACAAATTGCTGACTGACATGCAAACCTACCGTTAGGTTCAATCCTGAGGTCCTCGTCAATTAACTTGTCACCGTCATCATCTGCAAAATAAGAGGCTTTTGTGTAACACTTTATTACTATTGTTGGTTTTGGTTGTGTTGTTGTTTGTTGAAAATTTCATTAATAATAATATAATAATAATAATTAGTGGTCTTTTATAGCGCAGTACCCCAGCCTAGGGCTGGGCTAACCGCGCTGTACATACAAATATTATTAAAAGAGACATAATCATGACATTAAAATCAGATACAATTATGAAATAAAGAACAGCATGAACTCCAGGACTTTTACAAGGCAAACCATGGATGGCAGCCAACAAGATCATTTATCGGTCAGAGGAGGGGAATCAGTCAGGGTAGTACAGTTTAAAGAGATGTGTCTTGAGTGCAGTTTTGAAGGCCTTGGTGGTTGGTATATTGCGGATGTGTAGTGGCAAAGAATTCCATTGTTTGGGGGCGCAGAAAGAGAAAGATCGTTCACCATATATTTTAGCGTGTGTCTTGGGAATGGACAGAATACGCGTGTCTGCGGAGGAGCGAAGCTGTCGAAGGGGTGAATAGACAGAAAGAAGTTCGGTTACCCATGATCAGGAGTTCATCCATCAAATGAAAAAAAAAATATATATAAAAACATATGAATTGAACAAGAACTCATACATTTGAATCAGAGTCCAGATTTATCATTTCGATACGCAGTGCAAAAGAAAACTGTTAAAAATTGTTTTTGATTGCGTCAATTTCCCTTAATGAACATGAGGCTCACATCGCCTCTACGCATGTGTATATCTAGTTATAAGATGGATGACTACTCTCTACGCATGTGTATATCTAGTTATAAGATGGATGACTACTCTCTACGCATGTGTATATCTAGTTATAAGATGGATGACTACTTCCCATTTTCACATACCGTATTTATTGGCGTATAACACGCACGGGCGTATAATACGCACCATTGGCGCCGCTAAGCGGTATGTACTATGGGTCCTTAGCATTATATCGGCTTATAATACGCACCATTGGCGCCGCTAAGCGGTATGTACTATGGGTCCTTAGCATTATATCGGCTTATGATACGCACCATTCGCGCCGCTAAGCGGTATGTACGATGGGTCCTTATTATTATATCGGCGTGTAACACGCACACATCATTTGTCCCCCTATTTTCAGGGAGAAAAAGAGCGTTCTATACGCCAATAAATACGGTAATTCGAATCTAGAAAAGAATACAATTTTTTGAAAGAAACATGTTAAAATATCATTAATTCAATTAAAATTATTAGTAATATAAATATCACATTTAAAAAGCTCACCTTTGCCATTTTTGTGTTCTTCGTCGGTGCGGCCATCGCAGTCATTGTCAATGCTATCATGCATAGAGTGTTTTTCTTGACTTAATTTGCAATCCTGACATAGAATGATATACCATATATATCGCTAGGAAATGGGCGGTTGGAATGGACAAGTGATGTCATTACAAAACGTGAGTAGAGGGCCATTATCAAACATGTTGGGGATAGTGGGAGCCACTACAAAACATGGGGGTGGTGGCTGTTGGTGGAGCAATTAAAAACGTGAGGGGGGGGGGTTGAGCACTTACAAAACATAATATGGATAGTTTCATAGGGTAGCTATTACAAAACAAGGGGTAGGTTGTTGGTGGAGCCATTAAAACACGTAGGGAGGTTGAAGGCATTACAAAACATATGAGTAGTTTGATAGTGGAGCTTTTACAAAATATGTGGGGGTGTGGGGGTCATTATAGATCATACGTGGAGGAAGGTTGGGGCATTACGAAAATGCGGAGATTTTATGAGAGGATCTATTATAAAACAAGTAGAGGTTTTGATGGGGTGAGCCACTACTTACAAAACATGTGGCGAGTATGTAGGAGGGTAATTTATAAAACAAGTAGAGGTTTAGGTGGGGTGAGGCACTACTTACAAAACATGTGGCGAGTATGTAGGAGGGTAATTTATAAAACAAGTAGAGGTTTTGATGGGGTGAGCCACTACTTACAAAACATGTGGCGAGTATGTAGGAGGGTAATTTATAAAACAAGTAGAGGTTTAGGTGGGGTGAGCCACTACTTACATAACATGTGGCGAGTATGTAGGAGGGTAATTTATAAAACAAGTAGAGGTTTAGGTGGGGTGAGGCACTACTTACAAAACATGTGGCGAGTATGTAGGAGGGTAATTTATAAAACAAGTAGAGGTTTAGGTGGGGTGAGGCACTACTTACAAAACATGTGGCGAGTATGTAGGAGGGTAATTTATAAAACAAGTAGAGGTTTAGGTGGGGTGAGGCAGTACTTACAAAACATGTGTCGAGTATGTAGGAGGGTAATTTATAAAACAAGTAGAGGTTTAGGTGGGGTGAGCCACTACTTACATAACATGTGGCGAGTTTGTAGGAGGGTAATTTATAAAACAAGTAGAGGTTTAGGTTGGGTAAGGCACTACTTACAAAACATGTGGCGAGTATGTAGGAGGGTAATTTATAAAACAAGTAGAGGTTTTGGTGGGGTGAGGCACTACTTACAAAACATGTCGCGATTTTGTAGGAGGGTAATTTATAAAACAAGTAGAGGTTTAGGTGGGGTGAGGCACTACTTACAAAACATGTGGCGAGTATGTAGGAGGGTAATTTATAAAACAAGTAGAGATTTAGGTGGGGTGAGGCACTACTTACAAGACATGTGGCGAGTTTGTAGGAGGGTAATTTATAAAACAAGTAGAGGTTTAGGTGGGGTGAGCCACTACTTACAAAACATGTGGCGAGTATGTAGGAGGGTAATTTATAAAACAAGTAGAGGTTTTAGTGGGGTGAGGCACTACTTACAAAACATGTGGCGAGTATGTAGGAGGGTAATTTATAAAACAAGTAGAGGTTTGGTAGGGGTGAGTCCCTTACAAGAGAAGTGGAGTGGTGGCGTGATCGAGTACTTACAAAACATGTGGCGAGTTTGTAGGAGGTCCATTATAAATCATGTAAAGTTTTAGGTGGATCGCGCCATTACAAAACAAGTGGGGTGGTGAAAATATCATGATTTTTCTTATAATTGGTGAACACTTTAACCTTGTGTACTCTCACCACGAAGTAACCACTCGGAGGGAAGAAACTTTACATTTTGGGCCTTTGACTTACGGTAAAGTAATTAATTACATGCTCCACTTTTGACTAAGATTTACAAAGCAAGAATTCAGCTATCACAGTTAAAAAATCACGTTAAAAGGCAATGCTGAAATAGCAAGTTCAATGTGGTTGTTGTTATTTCGTTAATTTTTTTTATTTTTTTTTTAAAAATCTAAATCTATGTTTGTTAACATGAAATTCTAATTTTACTTTAAAAACGATATTAAACATCTATTCTGTAATAACACTGAGGCTTTTAACCTGTTACGACATCGAGGCGTTACACCTGTTCAAATACTGAGGCTATTAACTAGTTCAAACATTGAGGCTTTTCATTTATCAAGATTTCCCCCCCCCCTTTTTTTTTTAATTCTCACCTGTAATCCTGCCGGATGCATGTATGCCATACCGGGCGCATAGCCGTACAGGTAACACCCAAACTTAAATATCGGGAACGACTTAATGATATAATTCTCTTGAGGAGTCTCTAGATGGCAAACATTATATTTTGATGTACCAGCAACAGGCTCCCATTTTCTGTTCAGAACAGAAAAGAAAGTGTTGAATGCGTACTTACTACTGTAATCATTCAAATAATTATGGGAGTTTGGGTTAAATTTGAATACATTGAAAGTCCTCTTTATTGTGAAAACATCTAAAAAAAAACATTGTTGTCATCGTATCATGTGAAACATGTGTTAATAGATTTCACGTAAAATCAACTCGATTAGTACGAATTCCCACTCTTAAAGTTAGTACCGAAAGAGATAAAAAATATTTTTTCTTTTCCAGTGTGTACGAACTTACCAGCGTGCTCCCCCAGAGGTTGTAAGTTCCAAATGTTCTTTAATTAAGTCATTATTGTTATTAAAAGAGTTCATTGATTTCTGATTCCTTCATTATATAAACATTTTGATTGTGTCAGTGCACCCTGCTTCTTAATTTACTTGAAAGATTACCAGCATTTCATTGTCGGGTTTATTTTGCTTAAGATATACCTTTCCTTATCTTTGATAATTTGTTAATCTTACGCCTGTGGCAATTAATTTGAAATACTTTGCAAGTTCCCGAGATGATCTTGTGATTGTGGGTAAAAATTAGATTGACAGGCTTTGAATGCGGTTAGAGGACACCCTGTAAGAGGACACCCTGTTAGAGGACACCCTGCTAGAGGACACCTTGTCCTGTCCGACAAACACTTCGGTGGAGATAACTTTAGATTTCTTCCTAAACGTCTTTTCCGCAGAGCCGCTTCTACCCCAAAAGCGTGCAACATCTCGAGGAATCTTTTCGTACTCTGGACAGGCTTACCTTTTTGAGCGATCTTCCTAAAAGTTCTGATGTATTAAATAGTTTCCACAACAGTGTGCAACGTCTTGAGGAATCTTTTCGTACCCAAATTATATATATATATATAAGAGATGAGCTTAAGGCTTGTCAGTGGTAAGAGATGGACTTACTTAAATCCCAGCGGGCTTTTGTTCAAGTAGAGATGTTTTATTTTAAGGAGAGGTGCAATCAGTACGACATGATTCACCGTCGCGTAATCGGGATTGCTTAAAGAAAAGACAACATTTTTTAACGATACTCTAATAATAATATTGATCATGTCGATTCTGCTAACACAATTAAAGTCCCTGAATATGTACAATGTCAAACAATATATTTTTTTTAAAAATACACTATGTTATATTTTTAATATTTTGTGTGTGTTGCTATTAGTAAATCCAATGTTCAGTTGTTGTTTTTTTTAATTTACTTTTTAATTTATTTACCGAGCACATAAAAAGGGGTACAAAAATTCTACGTTTTAATTTAATTGCATATACCGAATAGTTTATGGCAGTGGTTCCCAAAAGATTTTAGCCCTCATTGAACCTGTTGCACTTCTCATGGGCCCCGCGGCCCCTTCAATAATCTCCTTAACACTGTTAACCGGTAAGACGTAAGGTTTCTAGATAGGACTCTGCAATGCGTAAAGCTTAGGAGCCACCGGTTTATGCTGTAAGTAAGCTAAATCTATTCATCAATTAGAATTAACCAAAAAAGAATGTCCTCCTTTTCTGTACAAGCTGACATTCCTGAGGCCACAAACAATCTAGCCAATCATCCGTCAGCCTTACGTCCATATGTACGCCACGTAAAATAGAGACGTGGGCAGCACAATGCTGAATGCGACGTCGCCATATTGCTCGGGAGTCCCCAGGTCTGAGTTAAAACAACCGGAACGTTGAACATACATCAGCTGAATCGGCGAACTGCTCGATACCTGAGCATTTTCTGTGATCTCCACCTGGAAATATAGTAATTACACTGTGTTTAATCAAATGTTTATCACAAAGTTGGGGATTTCGGGGAAAGAACTCGGAACAAATTTTTACTCATTTTCCAGCAAATATATCTTAACTGCAGCTATACATATATAAACAGCATTAGTTAAGGGTTTTTAACTGTTTTTGCATCACCTAACGCACATCTCTATTTTAAAAAAATATATCATACTCATGCACCACCCCCCCCACCACATCTTTTCCGAGGTAAAGGTAGTTTTCTAGTAAATGAAAAAAAAAGAACCATAACTCGGTTGGGATTGTGTTCCGTTTTGAATGAAATCCTACAAGCAAACAAAACTATGCACCAGTAATACTAGTTCTCAAACAAATTTCCACCACACGCACTTTTCTGGAAAAATTCAATACACCCACACCCTCCCCCCTCCTCTTGCATCCCATTTATTGGGGGGGGGTGGGGCTGGAGTACGGTTGAGAACAACCCTTGTCAGAAACGACTTCTCCGTGTATCATTACTTACGTGAAAGACTTCAATCGTCCCGATGTAAATTGTCTTGACAACGCCACTAAATCCAGTGCTCAAATTGACAGCCGCGAAAGAAGTTTCATTGGGGTTCAAGATGACCACTTTGCTTGGTACGCGTCTATAGGGCAGGGCCATGACGATGAACTCTGTTCCAAAGTACTCGGACGGCATCAGCATTTCTGGTGGTAAGGGGGGAGAAGAGATGGAGAGCTGCATCACCACTATAGCGAATGTGAGACAGAGCTATACATCATACTTGAGACGGCGCACTGCATCACACGTGAGGCAGAACAATACGTTAAGTAGCAGCTCAATGATTAGAGAAATATATCTTGTTTCGTTATCTTACGTATTATGATTGAGGATTTTGAATGTCATGCGCAGAGAGAGAGGAAGAAAACTGAGAGAGTGAGTGAGAGAGAGAGAGAGAGAGAGAGAGAGAGAGAGAGGGGGGGGGGAGATTCGAATGATCATGGTGTGCTCTAGCATAGTATGTAATATTGTTTAAAGTTACATCACATTGAATCGGAAAAAAAACAACTATCGTGCACCTGTGAGGTTCACCAAAACACTTCCTAGAAAAACAGCAAAAGGCTCAAAACTCAGCTGCTAGGCTAGTTCTAAAGGTTTGATCACGCCACACCACGACTTCAATCACTTCATCGGCTCCCTTTACAAGCACGTATTGACTCACAAACTCTCTCTTCTCTCCCACGTACCAACCACCCACCTGCTACCCGTCCACTTACCAACCTCCCACTTACCAGCCTCCCACTTACCAACCTCCAACTTACCAGCCTCCCACTTACCAACCTCCCACTTACCAGCCTCCCACTTACCAGCCTCCCACTTACCAACCTCCCACTTACCAGCCTCCCACTTACCAACCTCCCACTTACCAGCCTCCCACTTACCAGCCTCCCACTTACCAACCTCCCATTAATCAGCCTCCCACTTATCAGCCTCCCACTTTCTTACCTCACACTTACTTATCACCCATACATTTTACAGCAACTCCTCCCCCTTACACTTACGAGCCTTTCATATATCTCCATCGTATTGACCAGACTACCCTTTACATAGCTCCATTTTACTATTCTTACACTTACCAGCCTAATGACCAGTTTTCGACTTAAAAGCCTCACACTTATCAGCCTAAAACTTACCAGAAACCCTCTTGCCAGCATTCTTCTTACCAACTTTGTTAAGATATTTAAAGATTTAATCTGTGTTAATGGTCGGCTCGTATACAAAATAAAAATAAAAAAATTCTTGCAACAAGAGACTGATCTAACAGTATGCAAAGAAACACAATGACAAAGCTAGTGATACTTAAATGTAAATTAATAAATGAATATGTTTTAAAAATAAAAATTTAAATACAGAAAAAAGTGATTCAACTTACAACAATGAGAAAAAAAAAAGGTACACTACTCAAATTCAGAAACACAGTAATATAAACGTCTTTACAAGTCTCGCTTGTCTCTCTTAGTCATTCTCTGGACAATTTCAGCCTTAAATTGTGGCCTAAAAAATATCCCTACGTGTACTATTAGACAATATATATTACACCAACCCAACACGTCACAGACTCCAAATAAGCTGCACATATGAAACAGCCTCCTTCTTACCAAGTTAACACATATCATCTCCCCCTCTGTCTCTCTCTCTCTTACCCCCATCACACTTACCCGCCTTACACTTACCAGCCTCACACTTACCCCCATCACAGTTACCAGCCTCACACTTACCCCCATCACACTTACCCCCATCACACTTACCAGCCTCACACTTACCCCCATCACACTTACCCCCATCACACTTACCCCCATCACACTTATCCCCATCACAATTTCCAGCCTCACACTTACCCCCATCACACTTACACCCATCACACTTACCCCCATCACACTTACCAGCCTCACACCCACCCGCCTCCCACTTACCCGCCTCACACTTACCCCCATCACACCAGCCTCACTGTTACACGCCTTAAACTTACCCGCCTCAAACTTACCCGCCCCCCACTTACCCACCTCACCCTTACCCGCTCCACCGTCCCATTCATCGCCCTTCCCAACCCCCATCACACTTATCCCCATCACACTTAATAACCTCACACTTACCCCCAACACACTTACCCCCATCACACTTACCCCCCTCACACTTACCCCCACCACACTTACCCCCATCACACTTACCCCCATCACACTTACCCCCATCACAATTACCAGCCTCACACTTACCCGCCTCACACCAGCCTCACTAGTACACGCCTCACACTTACCCGCCTCACACTTACCCACCTCACACTTACCCGCTGCACCGTCCCATTTATCGCCCTTCCCAACCATATCTTTCTTCAGACACGTGTATGTGTCCGTCACCGTCAGGCAGTTGCCGGTCACGACACCTATTGGCCATTTGGCATTGATGCCTGTACCTGGTGGAGACAACACGGCCAATCTGTCACAATGCAGGTAGTTTCATCATAAGGCGTTGTGTGGTGTTTTTTTTCTAATTAAGGGCGGTTTGGGAAAAAGGGGGGGGGGGCGGTTTAGTGGTATCGTGATAATGTCCCCACACTTTTTTTTGTTGGTCAACTTTAAATGTTGATATATTTGATA